GAATCTCGATTAATATGACTTAAAATTTGTAAATTTTGAACAACATATATAAGCGAACAATATTGTTTTCGATTAGATCCTCACCAGGCTTTACTCTAATATACAGTAATATTTATATGCATAAACGAAATTATGAAACCAATCAAGGTAGTTTATGAATCATTGATAATAATGGAAATTACAGGTGTACTAGTTTTGATAAGAATAATAAAGGCTTAAATCAATTTTAAACAATCGGAAATAGGTCAATGATTAGAAAAAAATATAGGGGATCCGATTGCATTTAAGGTACTCAGTGAGTTCCTAAAGTTGAATGCTCGTCTCACAGAAGCGAAAATATCGTTGGAATTTATCAATGACTGTATACGGACTGAGAGATATCCTAAAATATATTGGAAATCTTTACGCCGGAACAAAATTTATCCTAGTGCTAGAACCCTTAAACGACAAACACTCGACCAAACAGATTCATCAAAAATGCACAAACAATCTGGAAAGAAATCTTTCACAAAGAGAATCTATGGTCGATAAACTACCGCAGGAAATAAAATCACAATTTATGGATTATATGAACATGGTAGCGAAAAGTAGACTAGAAAAATTAGAGACAAAACTAATTCAGTTACTGGAACCTCATAAACCTGAAAGAAAATTTCCTATGGACCCTGAGCGGTACGTTCATAACTTTTCTAGTGTTACGTTAGACATAGTGCAAGTAGAGGCTTTGTCGCTCGGACCTAGATTTTGCGACTATGGAAATAAAATAAATCAACCAGATACAGATGTGCAGTTTGAAAATCTATTTACACACAATAGATTTGGTGCTCACTTCACCAGATGAACTCACTACGTTTAAGATCACGTTAGTGGACATCTGTCAACAATACAAAAATAGTAAATGTACTGTGAAAACTCCACTTACCAAAAGCAGAGATGCTTTACGTATGCTTACAAAAGACAAAGGAGGAGGGCTAGTTCTAATGAACATAGCCGATTACATTGACAAAATGAACTCGATTTTGAATGATCCGACTAAATTTCAAAAACTTAACGACGTGAAGGAAATAAATATGAAGGCAGAAAAATTACTGACCAATTCATTTAAGGAATTAAAAAATAAAGGTATACTTACTCCAAACATACACGACTCATTTAAACCCACTGGATCGAACTCATCGCGACTATATGGTCTACCCAAATTTCACAAGACATATCTTTCTATATAATTCGCCTTATCATAAAACTACAAAGTTGGAAGTCCGAATCTTGGATCCCTTACACAAACTAGTCGTCAACAGAAGCGTGAAAGACGTCTTCGATTTCATTTCTGAAGTGGAACATATGAACTTAAATGGGAAACGGATGATATTTCTAGATGTTGCTTCCCTGTTCAACAATGTACCTTTAACTGAGACTATTGAATTGGTGTGCCAACAACTACAAGAAATGGAAATCTTGAGGTTAGTCTCAAAGAAGTACTTCCAAAATTTACAATGAAATGTCCATTTTGTCTTTAATAACACATTATAGACAAATTGATGGTATAGCTATGGGTTCACTTCTAGGTACTATCCTTGCGGATTTTTTCTTGCGAAACTAGAAAACGGACCTCTCAAATAGGTTATCAATAAGTTTGACTTCTGCTGTCGTTACGTTGATGACACGTTCATTAATATCGACCAGAATATTAGAAAAGAAGAACTATTTGACAACAAACACCCAGCAATCAAATTAACACATGAAGAGGAAATGGGTAATAAACTTCATTTCCTTGACGCTTTTTAAATTGAAAAAAAATGGTTCTATCGGTAGAAATGTGTCTAGAAAAAGCTCTTCATCAAGCCAATACACACATTTCTCAAGCTTCCTACTTCATTATAAGAGAAACTTAGTCAAATGTCTGGTAAATAGAGCTATTACGATATGCTCAGTCGACACAATTGATAAGGAATTAGAGCTCATTCCTAATATGTTGATTGAAATGGGCTATCCACAGGGTTTCCCGAAGAAACACTTGCGTGTAACATAAGAAAATAGCGACATAAACGGCCAGTAAGAAACCTCTTTTCTTGAAGCTGCAATCCAATGAAGATAGAGCTGGTGATGTATTACGTGACAGACTGACTAGAGCAGTGAAGAGAGCGCTTAATGCAGCCAACTTCTGTCTATCGTATTCGACCCGATCTATGGCGATTCCCCAACTAAAGAATAAGTTACCTGGTTATGCCACTTCTATGTGTATCTACGAATTCAGCTAATCCTGTGGAGAAAGCTATATTGGGTGCACTACCCGGCAATTGAACCAAAGAGTTACTGAACACCTTCCTTCGCGGTTAGAAAAAGGTAATGTCAAGGCAATACGCTGCTCGGCTCTACCACACTTGATCGATAGCGGTCATGTAGTGGACAGAAACAAGTCAGTAGTAAGCCACAACAGTAGTCCTTCAGTAAATCGAAAGCTTATGATAAAGGAAAAACATATATTTGTCGTCTAGTTAATTAATGACTAAACAGAAAAACTAAACAATAGTAACCCGGAAAACCCAGTTCCAATTTTCACAATATCCGTCCCGTCATAACTTATCTAACTAGGTTTCTCATATAATCAATAGGTACAAAGTTCAAGGTATGTGTATTGGCCTACTGAAGGATTTTCCCTATACGCACCCCTATTAATAGAACCATCTTTTCTAACATATTGTCAAGGAAATGTAATTTGTTGTAAAGTTTTTCCTTACATGTAAATCTGATTGATAAGTTGCTGGTTTTTAAATATTCTGATCGACAACATTAAAAGTATCATCAATGTGACGACAGTAAAAGTCAGGCTAGTGACGCACAAAGTCGATTGTCACAGCTTACGGTAAAGGAAAAAAATCCAGGTATATTATCTGTTTCCGGTTTACGTTCACATGTTACACTTTAGAGCTGAATTTGAAGGCACCTCCAACGCTTCTGTTGACAACTAACTAGTTTAGAGAATTTATGATTCAAACCAGCCGCTTTGCAGTCTTATAGTATGCACACATATGTCTAAAACTTGACGTTAAAGTAGATCCTGACTTGTGAACTTTGAGTAAGCGATAGACGTGGTGTGTTCGGTTCGATTGGCTCAAGCAGATCATAAATGATTAGAGTCATTATCTCCTATGTTTCGATTTTTTGAGCGAACTAGTTAGTAGTTTATCCGCTTTCATATTTATATCTTAACGTGGCTGAGTCTTTGAAATCCAGTCGCAACGTTCGATATCGCACTCATTTTGTCATATCCGGACGAAGAATAAATGAATGGTAACTGCTAGGGATTATTTATGGACTATTATTAATATATTCTTATTGGGTAATTATTAACTATATATATATATATATATATATATATATATATATATATATATATCACATATTTATCTCTTGTACAATTGTCAAATGTCAACCATCGTGGGTTTGAATCTAGTTGGTTCCTCGAAAGTATTTGGGACCAAATCTGTCGTTTAGAAAAAGAAAATCTCGAATTGCACGTTGGTATATAGTTCACCAGGTATATGGTCATAGTTCCAAAATTTTAAATCAAGCGATACAGCTTCTATGATATCTAAAATTATTCAAATTGATTTGCTAACTAAGAATTCCCGAAACAGCGCAATATAAGGAAGGTAGAACAAAATAAGCGCAAATGGACGTATTATATTTGTAACTTGTAATAAGCGCGTAGTCAAGTACAAAAACCACAGCTTTTGGTTACACAAAATTCAACTTAACACTGGAAAAATTATGAACGTATTATTTGGCGTCAATAGAGGATTTACGTTTTAATTTTCGACATCCGAGAGATTCCATTAAATTCGTACCTAACGTCTCAAATCTACTTTTTGCTACCGTGTCGACATAGTCCATAAATCGTGATTTCATCCCCAGTGGTGAGCTTTCGACATTATATTTGCGTCGGAAAAGGCTTCTTTCTATTTCATCGCTATCACTCACTCATAAACTGCCTCAGATTGCCTAATATTTTTATATATGCACGTAAATACTACTGTATACTGAAACAAAGCCTGATGACGGTCTCATTAAAAAATATTTTTCGTTAACGTATGTTCTAAATCACAATAAAGGGATTCATAGCATTTTAAGTAAAGTTTGTATAAAAGTACATGACATCCACTTCAATTACAAAAATCTATTCTTGTGATGAAACCTAACCTACTATTATGTCCCTCAAATTTGTTTTCTAAATGCCATTGATGATAAAACGTGTGCGATTAGGTAGCTCTACCTATAATTACTTCTGAGTTAAGTAAGCTCTTAGATTTGTCTTCATATTTAAAGGTGAACAGGTACCTTTCAACATCCCAGATCTTCGAGTACCTTTAATACCTCCACGTCGTAAAATTGATTGGTACTCCCAGCCAGCTTATTTGTCCCTAGACACAGTGTACATTTAATTTCCCAAATAGGGGCCTAATAACTGTTGAACGTATCTGATTGAGATTACTCGGATACATGCACAATCTAGCGAAATGTAAACGAAGAAAAACTTTCCCACGACGTTTTACCATTAATTGGATTGGACCATCTACGGCGAAGGATATTTAGATGGAACACTTCTAATTATCACAAAGATAACCAATTCACAGCGCTGAACTGAAATTTGTCTCAGATAGAACACATAAATAATGAAACTCCAATCATCCTTGGAGCTGACTTATACTATCGGCATAAACGACCGAACGTTATGATAAGTGAATATCCATTGTTCTGAACAATACCATTTTACGTTTAGGTTAGGAACTCAGTAAGAACGGAAAAATGAATTAAATACTATTTCATTCTCACGTTGAAAAGAGAAAAGAAAGACGGACTTGCAGAAGAAATCGCCGACTGTAATATACATTCATGCAAGATTTTTTTTCGCCGCAATATGTATATGTTTTTCTAGTTTATCTGTCAAAGAATATATTATATGATATGAAACTTACATATTTTGTGCTTCCCACGTATAGGGAATTTAATTAATGTTTCACGTGGATCAGTGCAAATGAATACATACGGACTTTGTGATGGTCCATCAGGTTGCTAATATATTAAAAATAAATAAATATTCACTGTATCACAAGCTTATGACTCATCAAAGTAAAATGAGGTTGACAGGCCAAGTGAAATAATGTGAAACTTAATACAATTATAATGTTTGTTGTGATCAAAACAAAAAAGTAAGCGGTACAAACAAAATAGTAACAAGCACGATAATGGCTAGTTAGAAGTAAACATTTAGTACATATAAAGGTTGTTGTCTATCTGTACTTCCGAATTTGATTTTAAGTCATAATGAATGTCTTCAACCATTGGTCTCTGCAGTTTGAAAATCATGGTAAGATAGCTCATACTTGCCAACATTACTGATCTCTATTAGATAAATTGATCGGATAATAATATATTCTTTGGCGGAAGTAACTTTTTGTAACTTAATTAATCCAAGCTGACAAACAGCTAGTTAACCATACCCATAAGACGGGCGGAAACGGTAATTTGAATAACAACAAATAGAGAATTAGCTGTAATAATTGTATGTTTAAGAGGTTATCGACGAGATCGATGAATGAATACCGATAACAGCGATGCTGCCTTCCAACAAGGAAGGATAGGGTTAGAAAAGGTCGACTCTAAAAATACACACCTCGCCTTCTCCTACGGGTTTCCGTCTCCAGCAGTAAGGTCTCAAAAAACACAGAGTTAACACAAAATGGTGTGTGACGGCCCCAAGTAGTTGTCACTTGGACACTGCGTTCACGCTCTCAGGTCACTAAGATCACCTTTACCCAACTGCCTCTTCAGGTACCTCTAGATGAGCCTTCCCAAAAGTCTACGGAACGCTCGTGAGCAGCGGTGGGCAACGAAAACAAATGAGATAGAAAAGGCAGTGACTGTAGGTAACTCAAGATAGCTTTTCAGACTAATAAACGAAACTGGAATAAAGAAGTCAAGTGCAAGTGACAATATCTGGGAAAAAGACGAAACTTATTTGCTCTCAGTCTAGACGTTTAAAACGATAGGCGGAATACTTTAGGGAGCAGTCCAGCTGACCTTCAACTACTCTACAACTACACGCCATTCCCAAACAGCTTGAATGGAACATTGAATTACGCCCCCCCCCCGACTCTAAATGAAGTTCGAAAAGCTATAGCTAATCTGAAACGAGGAAGTGCAGCTAGTCCAGATGGATTAACTCCAAAGGTATACAAGTATGAGGGTCCAATTTCAGCGATTAGGCTGACTAATATTTTAGCTAAAATCTGGGAAGTGGATGTAATCCCATCCAAATAGTCGCAATCACTGATTGTCCCAATATATAAGAAACGACCGAAATCAGCCTGTGATAGCCATAGAAGGATTAGCTTGACCAATATAGCATCTAAAATACTAACCACAATAACTATCGGGTGCCTAACAAAGACTCGTGAACTGCAAACTCGAGAAAATCAGGCTGGTTTCAGACCTGATCGTGGGTGCATCGACCACATATTCACCATTCGTCAGGTTTTAGAACACTGGCATGCTTATCGGCGTCCAACAATGACAGTTTATCTTGACTTAAAAGCAGCATTTGACTCTGTAAACCGAGACGTTCTGTGGAAGGGTTTGTATGGAAAGGTGTACGTCAGAAATCTTCTCAGGGCTTTTTACTCGAACACTATCAGTCGAGTCAGAGCTTATGGCGAACTGTCATCTGATTTTGCAACCTCAAATGGTGTCCGATAAGACTGTTCACTATCTCCGTTTTTGTTTAATTTCATCACAGACCTACTGATGGTAATAACTCTCTCGTCGACTGGACTTTCAGGAATTGACCATCTATCAAGAGGTCCACTTATGGACTTAGAATATGCAGGTGACATAGTCCTGTTTCTTGAAGACGCTGATAAAATGCAAAGTCCTTCAGTAGCATTGACCAACAATGCCAGGGTGTTTGGTGTGTGTTCTTCCTACGCTAAATGCAAGTTGTTGCTTCAAACTGCCTGAGTCAGCACCTTAGCTAAGGATCGGAAGTGAAGTAGTTGAACACGTCTGATCAGTACAAGTGGGATGGTGTCTGACGAAATCTCAGCACGGATTCAGAAAACTCGTTTGGCTTTTGCCAACTCACGTCACCTATGGCAAGGGCGAGATATCCGTCTATCAATTGAAGGGCGAGTATAGTGCGCAGCAGTTTGTTCTGTTTTACTTTACAAATGCGAAACGTGGTTGTGAAGGGCAGAGGATACTCGCGAGTTACTAGTATTTGATCACAGATGTCTTAGAAATGTTGCTCGTATCTGCTTGGATCACCGGGTAAGTAATAATGGTTAGGCGCAGAGTATTAGCGAACGATGGTAAATCAGTTGATGAGGTTGTAAATCTTCATCAACTGCGATTGTGGGCCGACGCATTACGCATGCCCAATCACCGATTATCACGACGCGCAATGCTGACTAGTGTTGGAGACGGTTGGAAGAACGTTAGGAGTGGTCAAACTATCAGTTCATAAAGTCACTAAGTAACTCTTTTTCCCTGTATCATATCCTTATATGCAGTCTGTTTTTATGCATTTCTAACACTGAGGTAGCTGCTTCTTTTAATACGGTATTTGTCTTGTTGTGTTAATAAGGTATTGCAACTAGGACTAATGCATATATTTGCCTGGCATTAATCGAATAATTAGAGGTAACTTATTAATGTATTGGTAAAAAAAAACACGACCAGAAAGTCAAAAATTCAACTAATCTAAGGTTAGCAGTTGCTATGATAAGATTTAATGATATGAACGTTGATAAATGTAAGTACAATACAAAACCTAAGTATCGATTTTGAGAAAAAAATAGAGTTAAAAAAGACAAGATTATGATAAAATAGGCGTAATGTATTCATTAATTTTTATGAATAAAATATCAGTCTATTGAATTTAAAATACAATAATTAACCCAAATAAATAAATGAGAACCAAAACAAAAATTTAAATTAGATCATTAACTTATAACACCTTACTTTTTCACGATATTCTTCTTGCGTTATCACATTTACAATATTAACTCGACCGAGAAGACAACTAGTAGGATATGATGTTGGCATATCTGATTTGGGGACACCTATAATTAATAATAGTAATAAAAATAAAATTTTGGAATATTTGAGCAATATCATGATATTAAAATCTGTGATTTCATAATTCTGCATTATACAATTATAGTATAAAACAGAATAGTGTGCATGGACAAATAATTACATCAGATGCTGAAAGTTTAAAGAAAATTGAAACCATGAGCTTAAATGTTAAAGAAGAAAGAGTTTTAGTTACTATCGTTTAAAAAAGATACTTATAAATATTTTCAGTAAAAATAAGGATCTCTTCAAGTGAATTACTCTTCAAGTTGTATAAGAGGGAAATAATAGATCTAAGATTTTAAAGAATAGCAGTGGTAAGTTTAGAACAACGTCTTTACAGCGAGATATTATCTCCACTTTGAGAAATAAAACTGACTGAACTTGAATGAAACGCCCAGGTTTTTGTCAAGATTAACAAAGAAATCCAAAGCTTTAGAACACAACAATTTAGGTGAGTGACATTTTTAAAACGTATTTCTATATCTGATATGATGGAAAGAAAAGTCAATTTTCGATTGGTTTACTCATGAATTTCGTTCAAGATTTCTTCCGTTTTGATTCAATGTAATGATTACTGAATGTAGTGTTTGCTTTCTTTTCTCGTATGATATTTTATTCTCTATAATATGCGATATTCTTGTATTACATTGACATGAACTATGCTTAATATGAGATTTGTTATAACTCCAAGTATTTTTCATATATGTGATTTCATCTTAATTATTAATCAAAATGAGTGTACAATCAATATATAAATAAGTGTATTTTCTACTAGAGTCGTCGTCGTGTTTTGGGGTTAATAAATCATCACTTATACCAGTCTTTGTGTTCTTACTTTCGAGTTGTAGAAATCGCAGTGGTCCCTCGTTCCGAGTATAAGTGATAAACATTTCCGACATAACAATCAGCGACGACCAGATACAAAAATTAGCATTAAAAGAGCCAAGACAATAAGCATTTAGACGACAAGTTTTAACAATATCAGACTAAACCTTAAACTTGTTTGAATGCTGTACATAAGTATTTATTCGATACTAATGCTAGAAGATCGGGATAATGATTGCAGTTGAAAGAAACTCAAATGGCATATGAATCCAAACGAGTGAACAAAGAATTACCATTTGTGGTGCTGATTTATAAGGCTTGATTAATTACTATTTGAATTCACTTTAAATTATTCGGATACTTTCATTACCGAGGTGTCATATTAATAAAACGCTAGTTATCGCATTTAATTTTAGTTTATTCGGAATTATAATAATCACACAGTCATAAAAACATAAACTGTTGAAAGTACTGAAAATAAATACTATCTCACATATATAAAAATTTCTAATCTGAGTGGAACTCCGCCTGTAGCTCTTCTAGGGTTACCACCGGTCCCAAGACCGGGTAAAGGAGGAGGGTTGGGCTTAGAGTCAGCAATCCCATCCTTCAGAAAAGAAACTAGCTAGAGAACACTAACCAAAAAAGACAATTTAAACTAGGTCCTCCGAGTTCAAGGATCTTCATTCAGACGAAATATGATGAAGCCGAGATTCTTCGGAAGAATCCTATGCCTCTTCTAATAACCAGAGCAACAATTTCTATAGCTACATGAACTATCTGGACAATGTGGGTGACAAGGAGGACCAATCATTTATTATTTATTATTAGAACACATAAATATTGGTACAAGGGGGCACCAGATATATATGCACCACACAATAATAATGAGGATGGGAAAAGAAAAAAGAATGGAAGGTGAGTATAAGAGAGGAGAAATGAAAAAGAGAACAATAACGACCACAGATTAGTGTATGGTAGTGTAATAATAATAGTAATAATTGTGGGGGAAACGGCAAGGTACGACCCGAAAGAATTCTTTCAGTTAAGGATGTTACAACCACTTTTTATGAAGGAAGGTTACAGCAGGATCGCCACTGACTTCTACTCTGAGCCATATCTGATAACGTCTCTAGCCACTATGTTACACCATCTCTCGGACCCCAGCCAGGGAGTCGTGGAGGACCGACAGAAGCCAGCCCTTTGCAGCTTCCTTTCATACCACGACAGCATGTCATGCACTGACCACCTTTCCGCTTTTTCCAATCAGTCCCAGTGTCGGCAAATAATGCACGACGGGGAATCCTCTGGGACGACATTCGTAGAACACGTCCAAGCCACCGAAGTCGGTGTTTCAAGATGTTGACACCAATCGGATTATCGTCACTGAGCCCGAACACACGATGCCGAACCTCTGCATTACTGACATGGTGTTGCCACTGGATGTCAGCAATCCTTCGGAGACAGCGATAATCGAACACAGTTTCCTAACGTCCTTAACTCGGAGAGGCCAGGTTTCATAAGCATAGAGCAAGACTGCTCTCACCGACGCGTTGTAGATCCGACCTTTTACAGCCAGACTAACATCACAAAAGCGCTAAAGGTGGCCCAGATTGGCATAAGCCGCTCTGGCTTTAACTATACGTGAATCGATCTCATCAACACCAGCACTTATGCAGCTACCCAGATACACGAACTTCTCGACTACTTCTATCTGCTCACCATCCAGGGCGAGTACAAGATTAGAATCCTGCCAGTCTTTTAAAAGTACTTTACACTTCAAAGGTGCAAAGCACATACCGTACCTACGAACGCTGATTGCCAACTGATTAAGTGCGGATCGCATCGCTTGGGCATTATCGCACAGTAAGACAATATCATCCGCATACTTTATTTACTTATTTATTTTAACACGTAGATATTGGTACAAGGAGGCACGAAATACATATGCGCCACACGGATCCCATTTGATATGTGTGAGGGCTGTGATACTGCCCGGGTGCCCAAACCGAAGCAGGTGTAAAGGCGAGGATTGGCAAAGCAAGGACAGCATCCATACAGTTGAAAGACATGAAACTCAAGACAACTGTCTGCAAGTCAACATCAAATTCAGAATCTTCAATACGAAAGTCAAGACAGTTCCATTGTACGGAGCTGTAACTTCGAGAACTACTACAACCATCAACAAAAAGGTACAAGTGTTTATAAACAATTTTCTACGCCGGATACTCGATGTCTTTTGGCTAAATACCATAGGCAAAAGCCTATTATGGGAGAGAATAAACCAGCTTGCAGATGGAGAGGAAATTAGGAAGAAACTCTGGAAGTGGATAGGACGCACATTGAGGAAATCATCAAACTGCATCACGACGCAAGCACTATCTTGAAATCTTGAAGGAAAAAGGGGAAGAGGAAGGTCAAAGTGCACACTACTCCGAGATTCGGCAGCAGACATGAACAGAATGAGTAGCAACTGGAAAGGATTGCTCAGGACAGTTGAATGGACAGTGCTAGTAACTGACCTATGCTTCTCTACGAGGGGTAACAGGCGTAAGTAAGTAATCTGA